ATTTTAAGTATTTATTTATTATTTACTTGAAACTTGTGTAATTGTGTTATTGATTGAGAGTAAAATCTAAAACTGTGATATATGTTATCTTTATTCAAGCTCTTGTAAGTTGATGAGTGATGATGAGTAGGTTAAGCCACTTAGTTTATACAAACATTATAAGGTATTAAAAGTTAGACTCACCATTGAATTGATTGAGTCATTGGTTCATGATTCATTTATCGCACATTAAATTAATGCATGTTTAATTATACATTAACCATTTTAAATGAAAAAAATAAAAATAGTGCAAAAATTTAAAAACAATAATATTAAAAACCTAGTGTGTGCGAAGATAAAAAGTAAAAAAGTGATTTGAAAAAGATAATAGATACTTTATCATTTAAAAAATAAAATTAATTTTGCATTTTAATTTATCTATAATATATATACATATATGGACATTTATATAATCTATTTGTTATATATATATATATATATATATTGCTCATTTGCTTATCATTATTTTTAAAATATTTATTGCATGTAAGTTTGCATAAATCATGACTTAAAACTTGATTTATAAAATGAACATGAACGACTCACTTTTATGTCAGTTTTTATTATTACCCATATTTTTACTTTTAAAAGTGTCCCAAATGGACTCGGTTTCTCTCCTTTGAGAAAAGCTTCCTTTGCCTTTGCTTTGAGGCAGAGTCTTAATTTGGATTGTTTGATTTAATCTAGATAATCTAGATTTAATGTTTTTATTTATATATTTTAAAATAAAACATATATATATATATATTGTAAAAAAATTTAATAAATATTCTTGTTAATTTGACGTCCAGATTTAATATAAATAATCTTAATTTAATGTTAAATTTTTTTCATAAATTTACTATTATATTTAAAATATATTTATACTGTTCAAAATACATCTAAAAAGTCAATTTAAATTTTTTATATTAAATTTGAATCATTTATATTAAATTTGAACTGTCAGATTGATAAATATATTTATTAAAAAATTTTACAATTTTTATATATTTTTATTTTAAAATATAAATAAAAAATAAAAAAAATAAATTTAGATGATCTAAATTAAATTTAGACAGTCTAATTTTTTTTTTTTTTTTTACTTCAAAAGAAAGACAGAGAAAGCTTCTCTCCTCCGTCCCAAATATGCTTTTGGTGAAGAGGTAAACAAACCAATCCAAATTCTCTCTCAGCGTCCTACATGGCACCCACATTCAAGGCAGTTGATAATTTGATCAAAGAGGGCTTATTTAAGCAGGCCTATCAACCTTGACCCAATTTACTACCTCTAATTTAATCCATCCAGTGCTCCATGCCTTACCACGTCATTCTATGTTGCAGAGGCATGCATGGTTAGATTATTTATAAAAATATTTTATTAAAATATTAAAATAAATAAATAGATTTGCAAGGACCTACAACCTTATTTATTTAAACTTTGACCTAGCCTATTTAACAAATGTTTGTTTAAAAAACTTGCAGAGTAATTTTTTAAAAAAGTTTTGGAAAAAAAATTAAAAAAAATCATGTTTAGATCATTTTATGAAAAACATATATAAATTGATGAAAAATGGTGAAAGAATTATCTTCTTTTCAAAGTTAATCATTTCAGCCAGTGGAGCCACACAGGGGTATATGTCTCCCTCAAATGAAAAAAATTACTCACATGAAAATGAAAGTATAGATGTTTATATTTGGCACCCCCCTCTTTTTTATATTTTATATCTCCTTTTTTATATTTTATATTTTAAACTCATTTCATTTCATTTTTTAACTCAGATTCAAAACTAATTTTTTTAACTCAGAAGCCCAATATATTGTAGCCGACAAGTTTCATACACCCAAATAGTAATATTATTTTATAAAAAATGAACATTTATTAAACCTTTATGAAAATAAGAAAAAATAATAATCTAACCTGTGTCCTTTGAAATCTCAAATTAGATTTGCGAAAAAATTAGTTGAAACTAAAGACATATTATTTATCCATTGATTTATCTTATTTTAAAATTAACAATGGTGTTATCTATTGTCACAACAACAGTTGAGAGAACTTTTTCTGCTATGAAGTTTGTAAAAAATCAATTGTGCAGTCTAATAAAAAATCTACAAATGAATGATTGTCTCGTAACTTATATTAAAAAAATGTATTTAAAATAATTAACAATGAGCTAATTGTTTAATGATTTCAAAACATAAAACCACATAAAAAAAATTTATAAAATATATAATTATTAAATAATTTTTATTATTATTTTTTAAAATTATGAATACGTAAATGATTTTATCTCCCAGCTCAAGATCCAAGGTCCACTATTGATGTCAACGTGGGATGACATGACAAAAATATGAGACACTAAATAGATTGAATAGTGAGGATGTGAGTGCCACGCAAGGACGTTGAGAGGATCCAATTCCGTAAACAAACATGGTTTGCCTTATAATCAAACAATTTTAAATGTTTAACACGTGTTAAACATTTAAAATTGACACCTTTGGCTTTCTGAACTCTTTCACGATAATCTCCATTTGTTGTTGTTGTAAAATTTAAATTTACGAAATTCAAAATAAAAACTATCAACTTAGGGCTTGTTCAGTTTTGTTCTTATTTTTCATTTTTAAAAACTATTTTGTAAATTAATTTTTAAAAAATTATTTTTCAAAACAAAACAATAAAAATCTATTTGATCATATTAATTTAAAAACAATTACAGAGATAACAAAAAATTACCAATAATGTTAGTCATTTAATGGTGATAACCTATTATAGTAGTTGGCTATAACTAAAAGTAATTTACAATTATCAAAAATCATACTCCCTCTGTTAAAAAATATAAGACATTTTTTGAGAAGTTGGATATTCAAAAATGTTAGACATATTTAGTCTTTTGAGGTATAATCATTGTCCTTTTTCAAAATTGTCCCTATTGATAATAACTTTATATTTATTGTAAGGTATTTAATAGAAATAAATATGAAAAAATAGGGTTAGTTAAAAAGAAGATAACTACTTTATTGAGGAGTAAAATTTAATTAAAAATATTTTACATTTTTAAATGGAAGGAGTATGTTTTAAAAATAGAAAAGAAAAGAAAAACAACTCTAATAATATTTCCATTTTTTAAAAAAAGAAAATAATTTTAAAAATATTTAAATCTAAAACACTTATTTAAATAATTTTTTTGCCTTCGAAAATAAAAAATAATTTTTAAAAGTAGAAGACTCGAAATCTTATATTTTGTATTATTTTAAATGAAAATTCAGATGTTGACCTTCATATATACCACTTGAGGGTCTGATGCTACATCAACCCACAACTTCTCTTTTCAAAGGAGATGTACAGTGTCATTAAATTACACGACTCTATTTTGGTATAACTTCAAGCTCTGTTTGGAATAAGAAGAAAATAATGTGAAAAGAAGTTAAGGAAAAAATTAAAGGAAAAAAAAGGGCATTTTTTACTCTTACTTGTTTTTTTAAACTCACCTTTTTGCTGGCGTGAAAATGTCTTGCTATCACTACTTTTTTTTTTTTTTCATATTTTCCTGTCATTTCAAACGCTCGGTTAACCATTAATATACGACCCACTTGGGGCCTAACTTATATATATATATATTTATATATTATCCAAGCCCACTTTCCAGCACAAAACATGACATAACTTGGGCTTAATGGACCAAAATTTAACCAGGCAAATAGCTACTAAGAATTATTTGATATTTCCCCACTATATTATAAAGTTTAGGATTAGGTAACAATTAAAATGAAGTAATATACGAAAGTTTGTTTATCGAATAAATGAGCTTGACCTATTAAGCAGAATAAGAAGAATAATGCAAAGCACTAGGATCACAATTATAAAGCACAGATCATATAAAGTTTGCATAAATTTTGACTGGCCGAACATGCACAACATCCATATAATTCTTTAAATAAAAATAAAAAATTGAATAGCATTGTTTATTAGATAAAAGAGCAAATTGGTGTATAAATTATAATTCAAAAATATTGAAAATCCTAAATTCATTTTTGTATAATGTCATCTTTTTACTTTTAAAAACAATGCAGTTTAATTATTGTCATTAACAAAAATTAATTTTAATCGTTAATTAATCACAAAATGACATAAAATATAATACAAAAAACCAATAAAATTTCCAAGTCCTTCTCTAATTCTTTTAAGTCATTGCTTATAGTTTTTGAGTTCTTTATTATAATTTTTTAATCTATTTCTGTAATTTTTTAAGTTTTTTTGGCTATTTTTTAATTAGTTAATAATTAAAATTAACTTTTATTAATAGCAGCAGTTGAATTATACTGTACTATTTTTTAAAATTAAAAAAAATTAAAGTAACAAATGTTCATAGATTTATAATTTAAAACTTGCATGCACAATAAAAAAACCAATATTGAGTAGGATTTCTTCGTTTCCTTCTCCAATCTCTCTCTCTCTCTCTCATTTTTAAACTATCATTCACCCAACTAACACATTCATACATGATACAACACCTATATATCCCACGTGGGCACGCAGCAACAGTTAGAATTTTACTGGACCGTTTCAATTGACCTTAAAATGAAAAGATAAAATCCATTTTACTACTCCAAAAACTTGTGTAACAATACTTCAATGGGATGTTCTACCGGCTTGGTGATGAGGGACGAGCGGGGACAAAATCTTGCTTCAGTTAATATTAAGCAAATGAATTTCCTATTTTTGTTTCTGAAACATGTTCTCAAAATATATTCAATTTTTTAACTGTCAAATTACTTTTATTTTTATTTTGCTTTTAAAAATAATTTTTAAGATCGTTTAACAAAATTGAAAACACGGAATATATTTTTTGGATTTAAAACAACTCAATTTTTACAATTTTTTAATTTAATAAATTATTAACAATTTTATGAACTAAAATTATATTTTTCCATAAAAATAAATATAAACGGTCGAAACTTTGATGATCCAATGCATATTATTTTTATAAGCATCTTATGCAAGTGCTACTCAACTGTGATAAGGTGAAATCAAATTCAGGAAACATGTTGGGAAAAAAACTCTAGAAAAAATTACATTTATGAAGCCAAAATTGATTGATTATAAAATAATTAAATAATTAAACTTTAGAACTTGCCTTTTTCCCGTTTTTGTTTGTGAATCCCAAAATATCTTTGATCTTTCCGATCATCTTCTTGAAATAACCTTTCTTTGGTTTCTTATTAGCAATCGCCAGTGGCGACTTCTGTTCCACGACCAAGCGGTCGCCGGCCGGCGGCACACAAGCTTCCAACCGTCGGAATTCTGCAAAGAGCTGAGGATACACCCGTTCCATATTCACCTGAAACTGCCTCTTGACTTCAAACTTAGATGGACCCGACCCTTTAGACCCGTAAAACCCGACTGCCACTCGCCCATTCGCGTACGCATCGCACGCCGACAGAATCGTATTAGCTCGCTCGCGAAAATGGTGGCGAATCAAAGCTTCGAAGTTCCTCGGAGGATACCGAATCAAGTTAAGTGTGGTTTTACAGGTGAGGAAGAATACTTCCTGATTGTAATATTCCGATGCTTTTTCATTCCCGTACAATCTTCTTCCAGGTTCGTTGTAGTAGGGTTTCTCGTTGAGGACGAGGCTTTGGAGCGATAGCAGCACCTGCAATAATGTCGACTGTTTTGCGTTCCACTGCTCGTTCCGGCGGCCCATCCATGTGTTGAGGAGGCTCAGGCAGACAAGGCCGTCGCTGTAGAGATTCGGGTTGATCCGGTACCCGTGTGAGAAGTAATGGACCTTGGGAGGTTCTCTGGGGTAACTGGCTGGCACGACGATGTCGAAAAAGAAAAGAGCGTCGTGATAGGGTGTGCCGGCGGCGCCGATGATGGCGGCACGAAGCAAGTCGAATCGGGTCTCGGAGACCCGAACGAAGATGGATTCGGGTAGGCTCTCCCTGAGGATCCGCCACTCCTTGCTCATCGCCTTGAAGCAGCTTTTCCCTAGCTTCGAAATACTCGAATAACCCGAATTCATAAAGTGATGATCTGAGAAATCCGAAACGACGTCGAATTGTGGGAAGGGGAGCTTCCTGTCACCGTCGTCCTGCTTCATGGTTTTGGCTTCTTGGGAGCGGAAAATTAGTAAAGCCTAGCCGCTTAAGCAAAGTTAATATTTATAAGAGAGAGAAAATGCGATTGTTATAGATCACTCTGGAAGAAGTCCAATTCTGTTATGAGAAGATATCTTTTTTTATTAAAAAAATCTATGCTGTTAATTATGCATCAATAATTTGTTAGTTTATCATATAGCAGTAAGAAATATAAAGCTTATAATAAATTACATATTACATATTCATATTCCACATGTCACGATTGATTAATTTACCTTTTATAAAAAAGTTGGTTAAAATATTATTTTCTAGAAATTTTTGCATCAGTTCAATTATACCTGTGAAATAAATATAATATTTAATTTATTTAAAATATTTTTATTAATTATTTAGTAGAGTATGATAAAATAAAGATGTAATTAAAAAATAAAACTTACCGAATGTTTTATATTTTAAATTAATTAAAATTTTTAAAAAATATTATATATTGTGATAGAAAGGGAGTAATATATGAGTAAATGTTAAATTTGATTTCACTCCGGGCAAAAAAAAAGTGGAGTTCTCAATTATCACATTTTTTTCAAAATAGCTATAAATAATAAATTTTAAAAAAAACAGGGCTTGTGTTTATATGTTAACTTGTATAGTTACTCTCTTAATTATTTCATTGCGCGGATCATTATTAATAATGTATCAAAAACTATGTTTTGCTGATATTTGATATATTGATTTATTATTACTTTTTTAAATATGACAATGTTTGATATATTGACTGTGAGAACGATTTCTCTAGCCTTTTGTCATTGAGAAACTCAATCATAAAGTGGGCAACCGACAAATCGTTTAAAACTTAAGCCTGAATTAAAATTTTAAATCTAAACAAAATTTTTAATTTTCTTCATTTTATATTTGATATCAATAATTTGATTTCAAATTAAGATACACAATATATCAATAATGTTTACTAAGAATTTGTCACCCAAATTCATTTTTTTTATAATGAGTAAAAATATATCCTTCCTTCATTTAAAAATATAAAGTATTTTTTAACCGAATCTCATCTCTAATAAAATAGTTATTTACTTTTAAACTAATCATTTTTTTTATATTTATCCCTATTAAACACCCTATACTAAATATAAAGTAATTCATCAATAGGGGCACTTCTAAAAAAAATAATAATTATACCTCAAAATAATAAAAATGTGTTACATTTTTTAATGGAAGGAGTATTTATAAATATAAATTATCATTTCAATTCCCTAGTATATCATATTAATAGAAAATGTTAAAAAAAAGACAAAAATATGAACTTCAATGTTTAAAATGTTAATGAAAAATATTAAACTACATTATTGATCTTTAACAAAAATAACACACACACATAACTCAACATGTGTGTGATAATTTTTTTAATAAAATGAAATATGATGAATATTCTCTATTCAAGCAATATTACAAATTCTTTAACTTTTCGTTGAAAATTGTGCTGGCTACTCCTAATTGATGAAATCAGTGGATTAAATTTCCAAAGTGACAAAATAATACCACTTATTCTCACAAGGGATAAGTCAAATATTGTTAAAATTTATATAATTTTTAAGTGCAAACTAGAATTATTGACGCATTGCATTTTTCAAAATAAAAAATAATAATAGTATAGATTTTTTTTATCAAATTAGATATCTTCTCATAATAGAATTAGTCTACTGATCAAATTGGATAATATCCTGTGATATTCCAAAGTCTTTCTTTGGGTGAGCTGTGTAATTAATAAATTCATGTATAAAATTAAATATGTGAATAAGTTACATTATTTACAAACTAAGAAATATTAATTTAAATTGTTCAAAATAATTAGTGTTTAATAACTGTAAATTAACATTTAAAATTTTCAATTTGAATTAACAATTTATCCTTTCATAAAGAATCAATCCACTCCACCAAACTTTCAAAATTTAAGGATTTCAGTTAAAAATCACATTAAAAGAAAGCTTTTAAGCTTCAAACTCTCTCATTTGTTTTAAATGAAACTTTTATATTTAAAAAACATTTTAAATTCTATAGCTATTTTGTTTGAGTTTGAATATCTCAAGATGAATAGTTTTCCTATTTTCTTGGGTTTCAATGTTGTAATTTTTTACCTAGTTTTTCTTAACAAAGTTTGTTCACAAAAAAAAAAAAAGAATAACTCCATGTGAATATTTATATTTCTTTTCAACGTTATAAAATATTGGTAAGAAAAAAATATTATTAAATTATGAAGATATATTTAGTAGGAGTAAATTATAAAATTATTAATTTTTTTAAAAAATGTAATAAACTTTAAAAATTTTTCTAATTTTAATGAAACATATTAAAAATAACTTATAAATAATATTGAAGAGGGTATATATATACACACACTTGAAACTTCATAAATAGCACCTGATGGACAGATGGAGTAAATTTATTCCTATGCTTGGAACTTTCCCTTGCTTGCAAGTGTTTTTTTTTTTTTTGGTTGCAAACACCTTAAATTGCAAGTTCATCTAAAATCGTGTTAGAAATATGAAACACAAAAGTAGTGTTGTTTGAGGTGTCAAAATTCCAAAACATATACTATATAAAAAAGTTGAAAAGGGTTACACATATCAATAAAAATATAATAATAATATTTTATAAATTTACTTTATCAAAACATAATTGTAGACTTTTAAAATTATCTTTAAATATATAATTGTTGTGATACAATATTATTTTAATTTTTTATTTAAAAGATAACATTAAAATATATTATTAATAAAATTTTATTTTTCTTTAATTTTTTTATATTTTAAGACAATAACATACTTTTAATTTTATTTTATAATTTGAGATTGATGGAATATAAAATAGGCATCTTAAAGTTATAGAATTGTGTAATTTTTTCTTTCCTAATTTTACTATATTATATTATTGAGATATGTTTCTCCTTTATCACATCCTATCCGTCATACCTATTTTCTTGCACCAGAATTGCAATTTTTTGAGGCCCGAGTCCAAAGCCTTAAAGATATTTTAATAAAATTAATTCTGAAAATGTTCAGGGAGGGGAGGACAGGATAGGGTATACCAAGACACTAACTACAAAAACAATTTTTTTTTGCTATAGTTGTTTTTGACATTTTATATTAATTCAATTATAGATATAAAAAAGGGTAATATAAAAAGTGTCATATAAAAAAGAGATTTTACTTGGTCAGAAATATAAGCAATAATTTGTAGTTCTTAGAATTATTATTTTTAACTATATCTTTATTTTATTTATTATTACAACATTTACTTATCGAGTTTCGCACACTTGCATTGTAGTAGCCCCTAGCGTTCGGTTATATAACAAGCTTGCATAAATAATCTTTAATTTTTCATTTACTTACAGTGTGCATGCGTCATCCACTCTGTTTCCTATATTCATGTGTTTGTTTCCAAATTTTTAATTTTAGCTTGAATGTAGGAAGATTTAGACTTAAATTTGGATCTGGATCAATTTCATCATTTAGATTTATGAAAATTTATAGATTAGGATTTGACTATATTTTATATTTTATTTTTTTATAATTTCAAATTTATTACATATCCTAATTATTTGAAATGTCAGTTATTCTAACTTTTTTATTTTTTTTTTCTTGTTTTCATTTCTTATAACCCTCTTTTTATTATTTTTGGGTTTGAAATTTTTCATACTATTTAAATAAAAAATTTTATATCATGAATTTTAAATTTAAAGTTTAATACTAACTAAATATATTAGCCCAAATCTTGCCCTCATTTTTAGCCCATATAATTTCCTTTGATCTCTTTCGACACTGGGATTGTTATTTGCTTGCATTTTGAGGAAATTCGGGTAGATGACCCAAAAGTACTCACAATCCCTTAAAAATCAAGAAATAGTGCACAAAATGCTTGTTCGGATTTCATTATTAATAAATTTTAAAGGTCATGACTATGATTGTGTAAAAATATATTCAAAGACATTTGTTACATGTAAAAATTAATTATGAATAAAAAAATTATGTTTTCCTAAAAAGAAGAAAATCATAATTTTAAGTTAATAATTGATTTTAAAATGTAACAAAGTGTTTTGATATGATTTCACAAAATTAAGATTTTACCTAATTTTTAATTACGCTTTTCAATTTTACCTTTCAAATCTATTTACAATCACTCTTATTAATTAATTTTATTAATAAATTATGTAATGCATAACATAATCAGTTCTATTCAAAATAAAGTATATTAATCAATTTTTTATAATTAATTTTTTCGGAGGAATATCCTAACGAACCCAAAATAGATCAGAAGGTACAACAATGGAAAAAGCTTTAATTGGTGTTCCTTGCTATGGATTTTATATGCATGCAGGCAAACGTGTTACTTATCCAAAAAAAAAAAATTATGAACTCTTATGGATTAAAACAGTGAGAGAATTCCGTGAGAACTTTTGGCACCAATTTTACACCATAACGTGCAATGATTCTAGGTGTGTTTGAATTTCACTATTGAAAAATTAACTATAAGAAATTGATTAACAAATTAAAATATGATAATGTTTGGATAATATTTTTTGTAATTGACTTTGCTAATTAAAGGTGTTTGAATAATTTTTCGGAATCAATTATAAAGATAGGAAAAAATAGGAAATGCTTGAACATTGTTGAGAATCGATTCTCAAATGGAGAAAAAAATTAACTTATGAACTTCAGAAGGCAAATGGAGTTTGGAATAATTGGAGGTGTTTAGATGCGAGTTTCCAAAACCATAATTTTAGATCTCGTAATTAATTTTGAAGGGTATCCTCACAGATTTTCCTAGTGAAATTTTCCTATTGAGAAATAGATTATATATATATCGACACTTTATTATCGTGAAATATATGTGTATATATTTCATGATAAAGTTTCGTACAAAATCAATGTAGACTGTGGAGATAATTTTAGTTAGAAATATTAGAAACTGTGTTCAATTTTTTAATAGCACACAATTATTATTTAGAAAAAAAATCTTATTTTCATTCGAGACACAATCGCTGTGGAGTTGTATATGGACAAGGCAGGGTCCCTGCCTAAAGAACAGAATATATAGATGGATTGTACTTTTGCAACTTGTTGTCTAGCCTTGCTTGTGAAAAGCCCTAAAATTTTGGGCCAGACAGAATGGGCTAAACACTATGTATTGGACGACTTGCCCAAATGGCAATGCCCTTGTCATGGTATGTGAAAAAAGATTTTGCTAAATCAAGATCTAATAAACACTTTAAAGCATAATTTTACAAGAAATATAAATGCTACACCACAAGTCTATAATTCATCACTCCGTGATTAATTCCATGTCATAATCCATGTTCCTAAAATCCACAACATAAAAAGTGCGAGCTCTCCAGCTTCAAATATAAATTCTACAGTAAGTCTTAACACTATATCCTTGATTACATACAAAATAATTGGAAAGGAAAATATTTGATTGTTTTATAAGGTCGCTCTCCCTTCTCCTCATAATGATGTGTATCAATAATATATATTATATTATATACATACAATTTTTAAATACATAAAAAAAATTTGCATATATTTTGGGGAAGGTCAAATGGGTAGGGCATCATGCTTAGCTTGATGCATGATTTGACTCGATCATTAGCCTGGCACAAATTTGCCCGAATTTTTTTTCAGGTTAGGTTGGGCTGAGCACACCAGACATAAGGCTACGGGAATATCTCTAATAGTCGGATATTAGATGTGATCACTTTTTTTAATGAAAATTTGATTCACCATAAAAGGGGTCAGCCTCTTTTACTAAACTTAAAACATTTTCTAAGTAAGAAAAATATATTACTTTTTTTAATAGCTAGTGGACTTTAGTGATTGTTGTTTGACACAATTTCTACCTAAAAAATTCTGTGAATTTAGACACATGTACGAAATTGTTGGTTAATTGGATGTTATATCTCCTCCTATATTTAATCTTTGATTCTTTTAACCGAGAGGCCAGAAATTAAGAATAGAAATTGAAACTTAACGAAGGGACTTATTAGTTATTACATGTAAGCCGCAAGATCAACCTGTGGATGACCTTAATTATAGACCACCAAATAAAACACCTAACAAAAATCCCTTCTTTCAATTAAACAACACTCAAAAGTATCCTATTTAATTAATATCTAAATAAAACCCTTCGCACTTAATTAAGAAAACCTCCCATCTTCTCTCCTTCTTCTATAACTTGGAGCCACACACAAACCAAAACATCAATATTTCTCTCTCAGAAAATTTACCCATTTCAGAGGAAAAAAAATGGTTTCTTTGTCATCTTCATTGTTCATAATAAAACCATTTTTGTGTTTCATTTTGTTGTTCTTGGCCACATTCCCTAGTTATGTTCTTGGGGCCATCGAGGTTCAAGATTTAGTCATAGATTCTCCTTTATTAACAAAAAATATTCCCACGAATCGAACCATTAAGGTCGACGACGAAGGCGAAGGCGAATTCAAATCCATCCAAGCCGCCATAGATTCTATTCCTGAAGGAAATTCTCAGTGGGTCATCGTCCATGTTAGGAAAGGAGTATACAGGTATATATACACATCCATATGTATGCGCATAAAATGTAACATCTTTTTAGGGTTAATCATACAATTCATTCGAGTTTTTGAAGTTGTCTTATTCAAAAATTATGAACAATATAATACTATCTATTCCTTAAACTTCATATACACAATGCATCGAGAAACTTGCATGTTCAGTTATGAACGAAAGTCATCATCCATTTTAGGGGAAAAAAGTACACAATTGTACATCTAAATACGTACTAAAATATATATAACATGTGTGTAGTGGTAACCAAACAGTTTATTTAGGTTTGAAGCTGCAATTAGAAGTTATGAACAAGTACTGCTGCTTATTACTTAGACTCGGTGCACTCGAGAGATATGTTTAGTTTGATGATTTTGATTGTGATGAAGAGAGAAGATAACGATACCGAAGAGCAAGCCGTATATATTCTTGAGAGGAAATGGAAGAGGAAAAACTGCGATAGTTTGGTCTCAGAGTTCTATTGATAATATAGAGTCAGCAACTTTCAAAGTCGAAGCTCATGACGTCATTATCTTTGGAGTCAGCATCAAGGTCAACTATATATATATATACATACTCCTCTTCGAATATATTAATCTTTCTGTTATTGATCATTTTGAATTAATTAATTAATTAACTGCAGAACGAGGCACCTACTGGGGTTGCTTATACATCACAGAATCAATCAGTAGCAGCATTTGTAGGAGCAGATAAAGTGGCATTCTATCACTGTGCACTTTACAGTACTCACAATACTCTCTTTGATTACAAAGGCAGACATTACTATGAAGAATGTTACATTCAAGGTTCTATTGATTTCATCTTCGGCCGTGGTAGATCCCTCTTCCATGTACGTATACACATGCATGCATCACTCATCTTTCTATGTCGTATTAGAAGTGAAATTTATGAATATGATGGTGGATGCAGAAATGTGAGATATTTGTGATAGATGACAAGAGGACAGCGATAAAGGGGTCAATCACAGCACAGAACAGAGAGTCCGAATCAGAGGCAAGTGGGTTTGTGTTCGTGAAAGGGAAGGTGTATGGCATTGGTGGGACCCACCTAGGGAGGGCAAAGGGTCCTTATTCGAGGGTCATCTTTGCCAAAGTCTATCTCTCTGCCACTGTTGTTCCTGAGGGCTGGGCCCACTGGAGCTATGCCGGCTCCACAGAGTATGTCCCTAGCTTCTTCTCATTTACTAATTTCCCCATTACTTAATCAATTGCTCACTTGAATCAACACTCTTTAATTTTGGATGTGCCAAGGACCTTTAATATCCCTATAGCCCTAAGTTGATTATAGATAACGAATCAAAGATCATCTTACCATCATGTATATTCTAAAGTTTAAATTTAATTTAAAAATAAAAAAATCTAATTTTTTTGAAGATAAAGTTAGCTAGTTATAAATAGTTTGAGCCTATTTTTTCAGGTCAGGTTTATTATTTTATATAAAATTATTCTAATTTTCAAAATCTGAGCCCTTATTTTGGACTCCAAATATGTACAAAAGACTTGCTGAAATCATAATGAGTGATTGATTTTATTATTCTTTTGGGTGAATAATATTAATATTAAGATGATTGAAACTGCGTGCATGATCAGGCACTTATACCATGGGGAGTACAAGACCTTTGGACCTGGAGCTAATACAACAAAACGAGCTAGTTGGTCCAAACAGCTCACTGAAAAAGAAGCCGAACCCTTCATGTCTGTCGATTATATTGATGGCAAGGAATGGCTTCCTGCTTGGCTATCAACTTCATCTATATGATCGCATGAAGATATATATATATATATATATATGTATGTATATCGATCTCGTTGACAGATATACTTCTCAACCATGCCATCTGTCGTTTGAAGACTCCGATGTACGTACGTAAGTGTCTGCATGGAGGTTTCAATTCCTTTATGATGATCCGTTGTTAATTTTAAACTACAGTTGAAATATCGTTCACTATGCATGTACTTAGCTAGATCACTCCATGTAACTCCGACTAATTTATATAAAAAGGCACAATGATTGTAATTTCTAGTTTGTATATGCTCAATTACTAGCTTCAGATCAAGGGATTTAATTGTGCATCTGATTCTTGGGCTGTTAGGTCTTAGGTGTTGTTCTTGAAGTTGATTTGTACTATGTAAACCAGAAACTTGCTGCCTTTATATTTTATGATTCTTTCATAACAAAATTGTTGTCAAGTTAATTTATTGTTAATGACCTCGGTTTCTAAGATGATCAATATATTGTTCCACTTAATTAGTTACTGATATTTAGAAATAATATTTTGTTATATATAGTACATTAATAATTTTTGAGGCAAATCTGCTTAGATTAAGGATTAATTAACTTCTTGCAACAGTCACAAATTTAGGGGGTCATTCAAATTTTTTTAAATAAATATAATTTTGTTTATAAAAATGTAAAATCATTGTTAGCTCCCCACATTTGGATAAAATTTTATTTATGATTCCCACATTTAGATATAATTTCAATTATGGCCCCCATGTGATGAATTTTGGATTCGCCTTTCTTGCAATAATTAATTCTTATTTTGCTTGTATAAGAATCAAAATTAAATTGTGTTACTCAATGATCAAATTATTGGAATAAAAGATGAATATTAAAGACAGACCGAACAAGCCAAAAACTCAACACTTATTTCATTGATATATATGATGCGTATGTAGTTGCATCTTCATGTAGCTAACTAGCTAGCATATTGCATGGATACATATAAGACTTCAACGTATTAGAGATTTATAAGTTTAGAACTATGTGATTGGTAAAATTAGTAACCACCACCAACTCCTCCGCCACCACCAGCACCACCTCCAAAACCCCCACCAGTACCGCCACCACCACCAAGTCCTCCTCCGACTCCTCCACCTTTGCCACCTCCAAAGCCTCCACCGGCACCACCACCTCCACCACCTCCTCCTCCTATGCCACCTCCTGTGCCACCACCTGCACCACCTCCAGCACCACCACCTCCGCCAGCTCCTCCTCCTATGCTACCACCATGACCGCCTCCAATCCCTCCACCTACTCCTCCACCTTTACCACCGCCAAAGCCTCCACCTACACCACCTCCAGCTCCACCGCCTCCATCAATTCCACCCCCATGTCCTCCTCCAATACCTCCTCCTACTCCACCACCTTTACCACCTCCAAAACCTCCACCTGTACCACCACCAGCTCCTCCGCCTATTCCACCGCCAGCACCACCACCATGACCACCTCCTATCCCTCCGCCTACTCCACCACCTTTACCACCTCCAAAGCCTCCACCTGCACCACCACCAGCTCCGCCACCTCCACTGATTCCACCACCATGCCCACCTCCAATACCTCCTCCTACTCCACCACCTTTACCCCCTCCAAAGCCACCTCCAACACCTCTACCAGCTCCGCCACCTCCACCAATTCCTCCTCCTGTTCCGCCGCCACCTCCAGCACCACCTCCAAGTCCACCACCCAAGCCATCACCTTCTCCAAAGTTCTCCACTGACTTCTCATTCTTTTTAAAGTGACATTCTACTGTTCCTATGACCAATATTAGCACTAAAGCAAGTACTCCAACATATTGATGTGATCTCCCCATTTTCACTCAAATAAAGAAACACTCAAACCAACTAAAGCCTTGCCTTTCTTGTAGTAGGAGGCCAAGCAACATGAAGTATTTATAGAGCCAAGGAGGATGATTTGCAATTAATAATCTTGGTTGAGATCTCTCTTTCACTTTGACAAAGAAGGACTTTTATGATATTTTTCATCAAGCACTTGGCATGAAAATTCAAACTTGTTCAGAAGACATTTTTATTGGGCGGTGAATTCATTATTGCTTTGTCTCAACTCTCAGCTACTATAAGTACCATACTAAGTAGTACTACCTTCATTTTAAAATGTAAAACACTTTTAAAAAAATCTAATATATTAAAATATAAGACACTTTAATAAAAAATAGAGTTTCATAATAATACTTTTTTAATATTACCCTTTCCATATATTATCATTTTTAATATTTTTTCATCAATAGAGTATTAAATGAATGATATTTTTGAAATTTTATTTTTTTTGTTTTGAAAAAATAAGGATGTAAAGTATATTTAATAAACTTTATTGGTATGCTTAATTTTATTTAAAAGTGTCTTATAATTTTAAAAAGGGTGTGGTACTAATATAGTATTAACCACACTACTTATGAAAATTACTAATGTTTGGCCATCTAGAGCACAAAATCTAATTAAGAAACCAACCACTTTTTTAATTTATAAATCTAAGAAATGTATGTCCCATTTTATTATAAGATTTTTTTAATTGATATTCTATAATATAATATTTTTAAAATAATGATTCATTAATTACACTTATTCTAAAATTATCTCTTATTATTTTACTCCGTATTAAATATATTATATATATATATCCTCTTATCAAACAAAAGATAGAAGTTTATATATATATATAATATTTTAAAGAAATTAATTTTCAACTGTATTTAATTAATTTTATTATTATTTACAATTTTTTTAAAAAACTTACAATAAAATGTGTCGGAGGGAGTACCGTCAAGTGCTTTGAATTTTGAGTATAAGATCTTTAGATTTGAGAAAATCTTGACGCAACCTTGTGCATTCAATTCTTTTTACCAACTTAGTTATTCAGTTGGAGAACAGATCACGATGAGCAAATTTCACGTCAATCACATTCACTTTTGCGTGTTGGTTCTATTGTTTTGCTTTTGACAATCTGGATTCTGGAATTAGTTCCCCCCCCCCCCCAAAAAATTTATTTTCTGAAATAAGTTTTACGAATATGAAATAAAAAATTACATATAATTTGTAACCTGTTTTATATTATTAACAATGACGTATTTTTATTCAACATTCAGATAAAATTAAAGAAATAATAGAACAGTAATTTTTATGTAAAATAAAAAGAAATAGATATATGTAGTTAGAAACACTATTTCTTATAAAAAAATTGGTATATATACCTTAATATCTTATAATATAAAAATGGCTGAAGTTGTGCTTTCAGTACCTTTTTTTTCAAGTTATTTGACAAAAAAAAAAAGCTAAGTTGATTAATCATAAGTTTTTGATTTTTAAACACATTTTTGGTGCCGTCACTAATCCTCAAAGGATTGTGAATCCAATGGTTAATGCATTGATTGTTTTAAATGCCTTGCAAAGTTGTTCAACTGAAGTACTGAAACTGCAAAAAATCAAATAATTGCGAAACTCACCAATAAATGAAGTCCACATATATTCGACACTTAACCATTTCATAACGTGCTAAGCTTGTCCCACCATGTGTATCATTTATTATAGTCTAAACTAATTATAATTAAATCCATATTTATTTGTTTATTTATTTATGGTAACAGCATGAGCTTACTTTAACCAGAATCTCCATTTGATATTATTTCTTCCAATCGTAGAAACTTTTCGTTATTATTATTAGGCATGCAGCCTCCATTGCAGCTTTGAGGTTTAATTTCTTCTTGTGTTGTGTATGATAAGAATATAAAGTGTGTGTGTCTATATATATTATGATGTTTTTAGTTTGATTAATTTTATGAATGAAAAAAGTACTCAGTCTCAACATTAGGTTTAACCGACACTAGAGTTTTGTTTTTGTTATTATTAACGTTTAGAAAGTATTGTTCGAATAGTATATATAATTCGAATTCAACAATTGACCTATGTAAAGCTCTTATATTAAAAATTTTCATATTTAAAACTTAAATCTTATTTGTAAATCATTTTCAATATATATTTTTTCAAAATTAAGAAAAGACTTTAAAGCTTATCAATAATTTTGTTGAAAAATTTAATAACTCATCAATTTTATTCCTATCAAATATGCGTACTTTTATTATAAAACTATGCTAGAGTTTATTGACTAAACCCAATTCCCTCTGTGTTAAAGTTTTCAAAAATATTTTTATTATTATTTATAATTCAAACATAACAAAATTTACAAGTACACACACTTATTTGTGTGATAAATTCTTAAATAAAACGGGTACACCATGTTATTCATGATTTGTTTAATAAAAACATATCATATCAGGTGATAAACCCTAGATGTTGATAAAGCTAGAAAAGGTAAGAAATTGAAGAGAAACTACAAACAAAAGTTGGTTGAATTGGTGAGGATTTTGCTTGTAACCTTCAAGGTCGTGGATTAAATCCCGTTATGAATGTAAGAACTTTGTTAGTGGGTAATCTGTAAACATTCTTTAAGCCTAGAGGCATGTACTGACTTTAGTGAGGCTCCAACACCCAACTCACCCCTAAACTTTACTTCCATAAAAAAAAATTAATCATTTGGTCTTTATAGTTTTGGCTCAATTCTTAAATTTTGACTCATTATAATTCAATTCTTAAAAATTTGATTCAGTTGTAACTCAATTCTTAAACTTTAACTTTTGTAATTTAATTCTTATAGTTTCAACCACTTAAATATTGGTCATTATATTTTAAAAATAAAACTATAAATATTAAAATTATGTAGTAATGTTTTAGATTACTAAACCTTTTAATATTTTATAAAAATTATAAAAATTAAAAGATTAAATATTAAAATATTTAATCTTTATAATTTTATATTTTAAAAAATTATGGAGATTGAATTGCAGAGACAAAATTTTAGAACTAAGTTACAACTGAGTTAAAACTATAAAAATTGAGTTACAACGAGTCAAAATTTAAATTAAATTATAATTAGATTAAAAGTATAGGGATCAAATGATTAATTTTTTCTAAAAAAACTCTATTCTAAAAATAAAGTCATTAAAAATAATAATACACAAGATTTTATTTGATTGAATTGGTGTAACATGATATGTTTTTATTGGACAGGCTATGAATAATATGATGTACCTGATCTATCTAAGAATCTTATGAATAGAAGTATTTACCATTAAGAGTTTTTAAGAAAAATAACTTTTGAATTTGACCCTTAAAACAAATTTTCCAAATATTTAACATAGCGTGAACAATAAAAGCGTAGTGAATACGAACGAGGTTAAATTGGATACAGCTTGCAAGATGAAGAAGATAATATATATATATGATATATGGAGATAGGTATCCTTCATTTTCAAAGGTAATGGACAATAGCTGGAGGCAACTCATGTGATCTTGCACCAAAGGTCAATAATACAACACAAAATAATATGTAAACTTTATTTTCTTTCAATAAGTAAAGTGGATATTATTGCATTTTTGACAGTTTAAAATGTTTCCTTCAATTTTTATATAGTTATATATATGTATATATATTGATATGGTAATGTTATTGATCATGGTATTGTATGTGTGAGAGATCATAATTGAGAGATCATAATTGTTTCGAGAATTAACAAGCATACATCATATTTCAATATTTGAATGTTTTTGGGAATATCTATGATAATATTCGTATAAATGCAGAAAATATATTTATACAGTTATTTTAATCAGGTCAAGAATATTTGAATTTGACTCCTTCATTAATCACATTTAAAAATATAAATTTTGTAGTTATGTGATTATCTAGCCATAGATAATGAAAGAAAAAATGTTACTATATGTAAAATTCACATATTATAATAATTTATTTTTTTACCCCTCCAAATGTTCCAACTTCCATGTGTAGTTAAATTTGTGAAGTTTGGAGATTAGATTCAACCAAAGCATACAGATCCATAACACTTGACACTGTAGAAATACTCAAATTGATCATTAATACATATAGTACGCAAGCATGTGAGTTAGGTTTTCAATGAGACCTAATTTTGACATATTATAAATTATTTGGCCAACTTATCTTAAATAAATTAAATTGGTCGACCTAAGAGTCTCCTCTATGCCATAACTTTATCATTTATCAAAGAGGCTTAAGATTATCTTTAGCAGAAAATTAACATGCAACATATAGACTACAACAATATGATCATAGAAGTATCTAACTGCCAACACGTGGTCATGGTGGTCTTCAAGTTTCGTTAATGACAAAAAGAAGGATAAATCACTACAAAGCCCCCCCTCTCTTTCTTATATTGTTAATAGCTTATTTGAAATACAATCGAACATTAAATGTAATTATTTTTTTTTAACAAGATTGAATATTAGTGTGCAACATTGTGAATAACAAACTAGCCATATTCGCTAACCTTAACTTTTATTGGTCATTACAAAGTGCCTTTGTTTATGAAATACATAAACTACTTTCAAATTTCAATTATTTTACTTGTAAATAAATTATATATATAATTACTAAAATACCTTTATTTTTTTGTTTTTTAAAAAAACTTAACCCATCTGTTGCCGAACACCATAGTTCTGGATAGTTGATCGGCCACAGAGCACCTACCAAAAAGAAAAAAGAAAAAATAAAAAAAAGAAAAAGAGTATTTTAATAATTATATACATAAAGTTTAATTTAAAAAAAGATTTTGGAGTTGACAATAATTTGTGTATTTTATGAGACCGCATGATAATTAAAATGCCTATGAGAGTCATTGAAATAATTTTGTAAAAAAAATTATTTCCATTTAGTCTTGACATTGCTAGTGATAATTTAGATTAATTGATTGTGTTTGTTTGAGATTTTAGTTCCAATTCTTTTTTTTTTTTTTTTGTTTTCCTTCTGTCCTATCTAACCCTTCACTACAAGTACGGAGAC